GTAATGTCACAAGAAAAACAATGGTGTGCTTGGTTTCAACGTAACTTTATTCTTTTTTCTTTTTTTTTTCCCTGAAGTGGTTCGCAGAGTGAGTCTGTGGGGGTTCTTTGGGAGCTGTTAAAATCAGGGTTAAATAAATAATCTATGGTAGAAAAGAGGACCTTGGGATTATTTTTATTATTACTGATTATTTTGGCAAAGTATGAATTTCTTAAAATTCCTTAGTGTATTATTGTACATTTTAAGTTGCTCGCAAAGTATTTGATGGTTGATTGCATTTTTATTTTTCCTCCATCTCCTTTCTGCTGCCCTGCAATTTCTTTTGAGTTTTTTGACTTCCTCGTTTCTCCATGGTTATATTGATATAGCACAAGATTCAGTTACCTTCATACTAAAATGGTTAGTAGAATTGTGCTTCAAGAAGCTACTTTTTACTTTCTCGCTTTGAGTAAATTTCAGAGCTTCTACTTTTTCACACTTGAAGATTTGTTTTGTTTTGTTTACTTGAGTAAAGAAGTTGTTTCAGTACTTTGTCCCCAGCAATTTTCAACTCAGGTATCTGTACTTCTACCTCAGTAAAGAAAGTCTATACTTTTGCCACCTCTGTTCAGGCTGACAATCAATGCATGTAATTATACAGGATTTACTCGCTTCTGAGACTGAGCCAAATGCTGCAAAACTGATCGCACAGGAGTTTAAATAGATAATGACCCAAAGCATACTGCAAGCAAATTAAAGAGTACCTTTAATTTATCTTCCAATGGTCAAGTCAGTAATCTGATCTTCACCCAATAGACAATGCTTGTTGACTAAAATCAAAGCTGTGACTCTCAAACAGAAAGTATAGGTGGCTGAAATGGCAGAAAATGTTTTGAAATCTACCATACCTTTACACATACCACAAGTAGCAGTGAAATATGCATCTTTAACTTGTTACATTAAATTCAAGAAAGTTGAAATGTCATTGGATGATGTAATAAGATTTAACATTAAATAAACCCATTTTTTTGTTATAAAACTATTTACAGATTTAATATGTATTAAATGTAAATAATTTAAACAGCAGAGCTCTGTACACTGAAAGCTACATTCTGAGTAACAGAAGTGTTGAGGCTGGTGCTTCTCTCTCTGTTCTTTCTGCCCACATTTTCACAGCGCAAGAGATTCAACAGATGCTTTCGCAACTTCTGTGAGAGCATATATAGCAGAGGGTTCATACAGCAATGAGAATAGGCAAGCATTTCACAAATACGGTTGGCAACTTCTAACTGTTCCTCTTCCTTACAACCTTTGGGTTTATAAAGAGATTTAATTAAAAGCATAATATGGTATGGCCCCCAGCAAATGAAAAAAACTGCAACAATACACAACAGCATGGCTACAGTCTTGTGCTTCTTTCTGTTTAAACCTTGCAAAACTGTCTTGAGGATGGCAGAATAGCACAAAATAATTATGACAAATGGAAGGAAGAATAGCAATGACACTTGGAGATAACGTCCAAGCTGTTCATCAGATTTTTTGTAGCAATAGTTTTTACCATCCCAATTTTTAACCTCTACTTTCATTGCATCATGCAGGGATGCTGAGATGCTGATGACCCAGGCAGCTATACAGGAACAAATTGCATACTTTTTCCTTTTTGCATGGTTGATCTTTAACTTGTGCAGCACCACAGAAATAAAACGATCCACTGTCATGGCAGTCAGCAGAATGACACTGCTGTACAAACCAGCAAGATATGCAGCAGTCAGGAATTTGCAACTAGAGTCCCCAAAGACCCAGTGGTGTAGGTGATGAACGGCCCAGAATGGAAGTGTGATGGTGAAGATCAAATCAGAGCAGGCCAGGTTCAGAATGAAAATATTTGTGATATTTTTCAGGTTCTCGTAGATGAAAAGCAAGCAATGATGCTTGTGGTTTACACAAAACATTACCAAAGCTCACCATATCTTGGCTCAAATGAAGACTTGTTTGATGCTTCTGTT